ATTATTATGATGGCAATACTCCAAACTGATCTATAGATTCAATGCAATCCCTATCAAAATTCCAGCTATCTTCTGTTTCTTTCCTTTTTTGTTTCTTTTTTGCAAATATTGATAAGCTGATCCTAAAATTCATATGGAAATGCCAGGGTTCCAGAAAAACAAAAATAATCTTGAAATAGAAGAACAAGTTGGAGGACTCGCAGGTCCTGATTTTAAAACGTACTACAAAGCTACAGCAAGCGAAACAGTGTGGTACTGGCATAAATAAAGATATACAGGCATATTCAGGGAACAAAATTGAGAGCTCAGAAATAAACCCTCATATTTACAGTTAGTTTATTACCAACAATGATGTCAATGGGCAAAGAAAAGCCTTTTCAATAATTGAGTTCTGGGATAGTAGAATATCCACATATAAAAGAATGAAGTTGGACCTCCTACCTCAAACCATATACAAAAATTGAATCAAAATGGATCAAAGACCTAAATCTAAGCACTCTTAGCTATAAAACAGTTATAGTTTATAATTTTTAAACTTGTGAGTTTATAACTGGGTTATAAACACCTATAAAACTCTTAGATGAAAACACAGGCATAAATCTTCATGACCGGGATTAGGAAATGATTTCTTAGATATGGCTGTGAAAGCACAAGCAACAAAAGAAAAAAATTAATTGGGCATCATCAAAATGTAAAACTTTTGCGCTTCAAAAGACACCATCAAGAAAGTAAAAAGACAACCCACACAATGAGAGAGAACTTTTGCAAATCGTAAGGAACTTGTATCTAGAACTCTTAGCACTCAATAGCAAAAAGTCAAACAACCCAATGTAAAAAATGGGCAAAGGCCCTTGCCGGTGTGTCTCCGTGGTTAGAGCATCGGCCCAGGCACCGGAGGGTCACAGGTTCAATTCCCGGTCAAGAGCACGTACCTGGGTTGTGGGTTCACTCCCCACCCCTGGTTGGGACATGTGCAGGAGGCAACCAATCGATGTGTTTGATGTTTCTCTCTCTCTCTCTCCCTTCCTCCCTTCCACTCTCTCTCTTTGAAATATCAATGGAAAAAATATATCCTCAGGTGAGGATTAACAATAACAACCAAAAAAAATAGGCAAAGAACTTGAATAGACATTATCCAAAGGTGATACACAATAACCAATAAATACATGAAAAGTTGTTCAACATCATTAGCCATTAGGGAAATGCAAATCAAAACACAAATTCACATCCAGTAGGATGGCTATAATAAAAAAGACAGATAACACTGTTGCTGAAGATGTGGAAAAATTCGAACATTTATACCCTGTTGGTGGGAATGTAAAATGGTGCAGCCACTTTAGGAAATAGTCTGACAGTTCCTCAAATGGTTAAACAACAGTAACTGTATGACCCAGCAATTCCACTCCTAGATATGTACACAGAGAATTGAAAAATATGTCCACACAAAAACTTGTATGTGAATGTTCAGGAGCAGCATTATTCACAATTGACAAAAATGGAAGCCCATTGCCAATCACTGATAATGGATAAATAAAAGTGGTATATCCATAAAATGGAATATTATTTGACAATAAAAAGGAAAAACAATATGAACCTTGAGAACATTATGCTAAGAATATAAAGAAGCCAGTAACAAAAGACCAAATATTGCATGATCCCTACATGAAATGTCCACAATAGATGAATCCATAGAGACAGATATAAGATTAGTGGTTGACTCTGGCTGAGGAATTGGGTGGGTGTGGGGGGGGGGGGGAGATCATAATGGGCATGGAGTTTCTTTTAAGGGGATAAAAATATTCTAAAATTAGATTGTGATGGTTGCATAACCCTGTGAAAGTACTAAAGACCATCAAATTATACACTTCAGGTGGGTTAATTGTATGTATATGAATTACATCTTAATATAGCTGTTAATTTTTTTTTAAGTCAGGTTGTTTGAGTCCTCGGGAAGCAGGCCTGGTTATGGGATGCCTGGAGTGTCAGAGAAGGGGAACCAAGGGATCAGTAGGTTGTCTAGGCCCAGACCCACTTTTTTCTTCATTGTAGATAAATGCCCAAATATACTTGTTGATTAATATATATGGTATCTTTGTACCAATGTCTAAAAGATGCCTCCCCAACTCCCAAGATAAATCATCTTGCTCAAGGTCACAAATCAAGTCAGTAGTAACCAAAGTCCCTCTGTTCCAACCCCATTTAGTTTGTTTCTTTCTTGGACCCCGTCTTTCAGACTTTAGCTCCAGCCTGAACAGGCAGGAGACCTGGGGTCAGTGCTTGTCTTGCTCTGGGTATGGAGTGGGCAGTGAGTGCCCTTGGTCAAACTAGTACTCTCTTCCTGCAATCATGACACCCTGGCCCCTGCTGTTGCCACATGCCCCCTTGGTATGCTATGAAGAACAGGAATGAGGTCTTAGCTGGTTTGGCTCAGTGGAAAGAGCATCGGCCTGTGGACTGAAGGGTCCCAGGTTTGTTTCCAGTCAAGGGCACATGTCCAGTGTAGGGTGTGCAGGAGGCAGCTGATCATTGATTCTATCTCATCATTGGTGTTTCTATCTCTCTCCCTTCCTCTCTGAAATCAATAAAAATATATATTAAAAAAAAAGAGAGAGAGAGAGAACAGGAATGAGGGCCTTTTCCAAAGCGTGGGCATGGCAATGCCGTCTGTCCCCTGACATCAAGGGATTACCCACTACTTCTACTCCTGGCGCTACCTGGTATGCCAGTCCTAGGCTAGAGCCAGCCGCTGCAAAGTCCCTCGTGACTGGCACATGGGCCTGGAGATAGACTGCACACATTTCCGGAAGCTGCCAACCTGGTGGCCCCAAGTCTAGAAATGACAAAAGCATGGAAGAGGACCTGGTCCATTCTGACTTTGGCTTTGTTTTGGCTTATAAATGGGGAAAGCCTTAGTGGCTGAAATTTATAGTCCAAAATCAGTTAAGTATCCTTCTAGAAATATTGTATAGAAACTTGAGCACTTCTGTGTAATTTGGCCCATACTAACCATGCTGCTTTGCACTTTTTTTTCATTTGACATACTTTTTTGATATTGTTAAAAAACATAGATTGATAAGTCTCATTTCTTAAACAGCTGCACAATGTTTTACAGCGGCTAGCCTTAGTCCTTTGCTAATGGACATTTAAGGTGTCCCCAGTATCACAAATTTTGCTGTATTAAACATTATCCTCAATTTTGCCACTTAAGTGGAAAAAGAAATTTGAGGTGTAAATCCTTGAGGTGTACTTGCCGAGCCAAAGGGTATGTCCATTTAACTTTTTAAAAATATATATATTTTATTGATTTTTTACAGAGAGGAAGGGAGAGGGATAGTTAGAAACATCTATGAGAGAGAAGCATCGATCAGCTGCCTCCTGCACACCCCCTACTGGGGATGTGCCTGCAACCAAGGTACATGCCCTTGACCGGAATCGAACCCGGGACCCTTCAGTCCGCAGGCCGATGCTCTATCCAGTGAGCAAAACCGGCTGGGGCTCCATTTAACTTTTTTATAAATATAATCAAATCATTTTCCCAACAGGCTGTAACAAGTTACACTAAATGTGAAGCCTCATTTTTATTTATTTTGGTCTTTGAAAAATTGCTTAGAAAGATGTGTAGCCCTAACCAGTTTGGCTCAGTGGATAGAGCGTCGGCCTGCAGACTAAAGGGTCTCGGGTTCGATTCTGGTCAAGGGCATGTACCCTGGTTGCGGGCACATCCTCAGTAGGGGGTGTGCAGGAGGCAGCTGATTGATGTTTCTCTCATCGATGCTTCTAACTCCCTATCCCTCTCCCTTCCTCTCTGTAATAAAAAAAAAAAAAAATCAATAGAACATATTTTTAAAAGATGTGTAACCTTTCAAAGTACAGATATAACTGTAAAGCTATTTAACAGCCTATCTTCCTATCTTTTCCCACCAATTTGAATAATCATTTTTATCACAAATTTCCAGAAATAGTTAGGGCTGTTTCTGAACCCTCTCCCCCCTCCACTAATTTATTCTTGTGCCGATACTGTTTTTACTCCAGTGCTTTGGTGTCTGATTATCTAGTATGTAAACACATCACCTCCACTGTTTTTTAAAAATGTATTGCATAGGAACTTTCAATTTTCAAGTTCTGTTAAAAACCCTTTTTGGATAGCAATGAATTTAAGCATTAAGCTGGGGAGAATCCAACATCTTTTTTTTTTTTTTTTAATCCTCACCCAAGGATATCTTTCCATAGATTTTTTTTAGAGAGTGGAAGGGAGAGGGAAAGACATAGAGAAATATCAATGTGAGAGAAACACATCGGTTAGTTGTCTCCTGCATGTGCCCCAACGAGGGCCCGGGCCAGAAAGGAGCCTGCAACCAAGGCATGTGCCCTTGACCAGAATTGAACCAGGGACCCTTCGGTCCACAGGCTGATGCTCTATCCACTGAGCCAAACTGGCTAGGGCCAACATCTTTTAATGTCTTCCCATTTAGGTACATGGTATGTCTTATGTGCTTCTGGAGAGAGCATTTTCTTCATATAGCTTCTGCATGTTTCCTGTGAGGCTTCTTACTTTGTAGTTTATGGGTATTGTAATTGTGAAGGGGACCTCCTTTTTTTCAAGTATATCTTCCAATTTGTTACTGCAGTGTATAAGGCATATACTAATTTGGGCCTCAGTTTATTCTCTGTAAAAAGGATAGAAGGAGAACTACTCTGAAAAAGGTTTCCATGGTTATATAAATATGGGATAAACAAAGCTAAATAGATTTGTTCATTGCGGGACATATTAATGACTTTAACACACTTTTGATCAAGAATCCCCAAGAAAGGCACAGGGAATTTCCTGTACTTACTGGGCCATGAAACCCTTCGTCACAAGGCATTCTAAAACATACTTAGAAAAAAATGCACCCAAAGACCCTTCTAGCTTCTAATCTGTCAATCTAGGAATCTGCAATGAACCTTATCTAATGCCCAAACTCCCTTCCGAACCCCCAACTAGAACACAGGAGACAACCCAGGGTCAAAGTGAATGCTTTAATGTGTTACTCACAGAGCCATGTCTCTGAACAGCAGGTGCCCGCCTCCACTGTCCCCAGATCTTTGTTGGGAAGGTAAGCTGGCCACCTGGGGGGCAGGGATGTGGGTCTAGAAGAGTAAGCTGGGGCAAAGGGAGGTTCGGGAGGCACCCTGTGGGGGCTGACTCCCGGGAGTTCAGAGGGAAGGGCCATGGGCCTCAGGCTGGCCCCTCTTCAGGCATTCCTAGCAAAGCCACAAGGGGCTCGAGAGGTGTGGGGGTCTCCATGGACACAGGGTGGGTGCGTTCGTGCTTTCGTAGGTCGCTGGCACTCAAGAAGGCCTTGGGGCAGTGGGGGCAGGTGTAGGGGCGCACAGAGCTGTGTGTGCGGCTGTGTTTGCGCAGCCCAGCCCGGTCTGAAAAGCTCTTGCCACACTGGGTGCAGGGAAAGGGCCGGAGCTCGGGGTGTGAGCGCTCATGCCTTCGCTGCAACGTCAGCGTGGAGAACGTCTCCTTGCACTCCCGGCACGCAAACTGCGGAGGCTTCTCGTCCACCTCCTCACCCCCCGCCTCCCCTGTCCCCTCCAAGGGACCAGGAGCCTCCCCCACCCCAGCATCTTGGCACTCCACGTGCTCCACCGTCATGCCCACCACTTGCCATTGGGTGGCCATCACACCGCCTGATTCTGGGGGCAGCCCTAGCAGCCCTGCTGGAGGGTCCCCGAGCCCTGCACCTGCCGCGGGGGCCACTGAGCCCTCGCCTGCCACGCTGACGGGCAGTGCGAGGCCCACGACCAGCTCCTGCGGTGCGGGAGCCCCGGTGGCCTCGCTACTTCGATGGGTCCGCTCGTGCTTCCGCAGGCTGGAGGACACCACAAAGGACTTCCCGCAGGCGTTACAGTGGAAGGGGCGCTCACCCGAGTGCACTCGGCTGTGCTTGGTGAGGCTGGCTCTCTCGGCGAAGGCTCGTCCGCACTCCTCGCAGCGGAAGGGCCGCTGGCCCGAGTGCACCAGCGCATGGCGCTTAAGGTCCCAGGAAGCCACGAACGTCTTGTCACACTGCAGGCACTTGAAGGGCCGGTCGCCGGTGTGCACCCTCCGGTGCATGGCCAGGTCCGCCGGCTGCCGGAAGTCCTTGCCGCACTTCTCGCAGCGGTAAGGCTTCACGCCCTCGTGTGCCCGCTGGTGGCGCCGAAAGCTCGAGGGGTCAGAGAACATGCGACCGCAGCGGGGGCACAGGAAGGGCTTCTCGCCAGAGTGCGTGCGCTCGTGGCTCTGGTAGGAGCTGAGCTGAGTGAAGCCCTTGCCACAGGCGGGGCAGCGATAGGGCTTCTGTGCTGCGTGGATGCGCTGGTGGCACGTGAGCGAGGATGACCGCGAGAAGCTTTTCCCGCATTCGGAGCAGAGGAAGGGGCGCTCTCCAGTGTGGGACCTGTGGGGGTGTGGGGACAGCATGAAGGTGGCAGGCCCATCACCTGACCCTGCTGCCGTCTGCACGGTTAGTTAGGAGGCCCTAACATCCAGGGGCCTTGGCCCAACCCCCTAAGACCAGAGCTGTGCCCCAGAGTGAGAAACCTTCAGTTGGGGTATCTAGATCCCAGAAAAGACCCCCCTCTGCACCCAAAGCCCTAGACTTACCAGGTCCCATTCACAGATCCTGTGCTCACCCTATGAGTGACCCAACCTCAAGCCCTGCCCCTTTCCTGATGTCCAGGAACCCAGGCCTATCAGACCCCACTTGCATCCTCCAGGGCCCCATCCCAAATCAGTCTGCCCGCCCCCTCATGTCCCGTCCACCCCAACCAACCCGACCAATGCGGGAGCACCAGCTCCCCATGTGCTGCTTACCACCACCCATAGCTCCCTCCCACTCACCTTCCCATTGGCTCATTCTGCTCCTTCAGACCCAAGCTCAGGCCACACTGGTCACAGAGCAGCCACTGCTGCCTCCCCCGCCCCACCTGCTCTTCCCACCCCCTCACCGCCCTCACCGCTCGTGGTTGCGCAGGTCCTTGAGCTCGGCATAGGCCTTGCCGCAGCGCTCGCAGCCATAGGGCCGAAGGCCGGCGTGCGTGCGCCGGTGCTTGCGGAACACAGAAGGGTCCGCAAAGCTCTTGCCGCAGTCGGCGCAGGCGTAGGGCCGCTCGCCCGTGTGGCCCCGCTGGTGGATCTTGAGCTTGGAGAGCGCGCCGTAGGCTTTGGGGCAGTGCGTGCAGCGGAAGGGCAGCTCGCCTGCGTGCGAGGCCAGGTGCACGCGCAGGCACACAGGCTGCATGAAGCGGCGGCCACACTCGGGGCAAGGGAAGGGCTTTTCGCCCGTGTGGCTGCGCCCATGACTGCGCAGCTCTGGTGCCGTCTTGTAGGCCTTGGGGCACAGTGGGCATGCGTAAGGCCGAGGCTTGGCCGCGGCGCCCGACACTTTGTCCCCGCTGGCATCCTCTGTTTTAGATTCCGTATCTGGCTTCAGCTTCACCTCCGCCACCTCCTCCGCGCAGTCTACAGGCCCATGTGTGGCAGCGTGGCGTGCTGCCCTGGGCGCATTTGGAAACGTCTTAGTACAGGACAGGCACTTGTAGCGGCGGCCCGAACGCTTGTAGCCGGGGCCTGGGGACCGGGCCTCCACAGCCTCCACCTCCATGGCCTCGATGGGCAAAGCTCTGTGAGAGAAGCGAAGTTAGACAGAAGCCACATCCCTCCGCCATTCCCCAAGGCCTCTCCCGTCACCAAAGCCCTCATGGGGCCTCAGTGGGAACCCCAACTTATCTGCACTTCCCACCCGGGAGGGCCACATCCTGCCTTCAAACATTCCGGCTCTGACAGTGTGCCCGGTTCCTCTCTGGTCTGCTCACTGTTGGCAGGAGTTGGACTGGGTGACTTCAGAAAGACTAAGGGAGGAGGCTGGGTTCATCAGAAAGTCTGCCTGCCCTTCATTCCCCAGCCCGAGCTTTGCCAGACCCTGTGGCATTCCCAGAACACCCTGTTCCATCCTCTCACCATCCTCCTCCTTCGGCTCAGCCTCCAAGGCCTGTGCCAGGATGCAGGGTCCTATGCAAGGCTGCAGACATCGAGACTACCCAGATGGGGGTCTGGCCTGAAGGTCTCCAAGTGCCCAGGGAAGGCAGAGGAGGCCCACGAGAGGGCAAAACCAGTGGGCTCACTGTGGTGACTGGCACCGTCTGTCTGGAAGTGGTAGGCCCCCAGCATATGCATTGTTTTTCCACTCTGGTGGGTTAGCTTTCAGAGGCAGCATCGGTCGCACAGAATTCTGGCCTTGCACAGCTATAAGGGACTCCACCCAGAGAGGAATCCTGGCCCACCCCTGCTCTGGAATCACTGTGGGCTCCTGCTCCCCTAGCTCTGCTCATAGGAAGCTCAGTCACTCCCGAGGCAGCTTGAACCATTGCTAGCAGTTAGAAGCCTCTGAGTCATAATCAATGTATCTGATCTGGCTTCCCAGGACACCCACTCTAGCGAGGCCCCTTCATTCCCGGTTCAGAGCCAGACACCGTCCACACAGCTGCTCCTGTGGATCATGGCTGGAAGGAAATAGGATTAACAGCTGCATTAGCCCTAACACCAGCTCATCCTCCCTGGGGGATGAAGGGAGAGGATTACGGCAGATCCACTTAAGGAGTGCGCAGCAGCAGCTGCTGGGGGCAGCCCGGGTGGGGGTGAGGATCTGCTATAGGAAAGGGAGCCTGGTGTGCCCAGAAGCGAGGTTGGGAGGCAGGGGGCCTGAGTTCTTTCTCATGTTCCTTTCTAAGCCTGTTTCCCTGTCTGTACACCTCAGGGCTTGATGGCTTCTACATTATGGCCCAGGGAGGACACTGGAGCCCCTGGAGTGAGAGGCAAGGGCTGCATCTTTAGAGTCAGCACCCTTCTGCCTGGTGGACCTGCCTCAGTCCCCCAGCCCTACACACATAATCTGGTGTACACAGGCAGCCAGCCTCTTCTCCCTAAAGTACTGTGTGACACTCAAGAACTTTCCGTGGCTTCCATCACGCCATGCAAGTTCCCAGGTCCTTCCTGGCCGTTACACATCCCATCAATCCTTCCTTTGAGCCCCACTTCGCCCAGGAAGCTCTTCCTACATCTCCGCTCTGGTTTTTGGCGCCAATCCCACTCAACGCTGTTCCACCATCACCTTGTTGTTGTTTTTTTTTTTCACTTTTCCCACTAAATTCTGGGGCTGGAAAGTGAGTTAAAGGGCTTGAGGATCAACTTTCCAGGGGATCTCTTGTTTCCAGAGGATCTCTCCCTATCCCTGGATGAGGGACTCACTACCTCCTTTCCAGACCATCTCTGGACAGCCTGACTGATAAAGTTTCTCTTTAATAAAAAAAAAACACGATAGCTCACATTTACAAAGCACTTGCTAAATAACAGGCAGTATCCTAAGCTCTTTACATGTATTAACTCACTTCAACTTCCTGTCCACACCATGAGAAAAGTACTATTATTATTCCCTTTTCACAGATAAGAGAACTGAGGCCCAGAGGAACAAAATGGCATTGTGCTTAATAAGGAGCCCGTGGCCACACCTAGTAATTCGCAGCTGGGAGTTGAATCTAGCTGTTTAACTCGCCTTGAGTTGTTGGGTCCTTACTCAGTGATCTGGGCCCTCACAGTCTTGTCTGCCCCCTGGGCCGGCCCCACAGGGACCAGACTCTGAGCTCAGGTTGCACCTTTGTCTGCTCTCATCACTGTAGAACCGCCCTGAGACCAGAGCCAGAACCCTTTATGTCTGTTTCCCTCTCAGAGGCTGGACCCATGGATTCTGAGCTCTGGGCCTCAGTCTTCCTCTCTGTGAGCCAGAGACCAGAGAGCTGGATGGCTAAACCTCTCCTAAGGCACTTCCCAGGGGACAAGTGGGCACCAGGTTGGTCCCAGCAGGCACCCAGCTCCATGAAGAGCAGAGGGCCAGGTCGGCGAGGCCCCTGTCCAATTATCTCCTCGCTTCACAGTTCAGTGAGGATTCCCACCTACCACTCCCCACGGTGGGGTTCCTCCAAGTCAGGTCTCTGAACCCCCGGTACGAGAATAACCATCCAGGGAGTGTGGGGCAGGACAGAAATCTTTCCTATGCACACACTTTCTGGGTCATTCCAGTCAACACTCAACATTTAGGAACCAAAGACACATCCTTAAGTCTTCACAAGCTTTTAGGAGAAAGGCGTTTTTACTTCGCCTTGCTTTCAGATGTGCAGATTACGCCCCAGAGGGAAAAACTTGCACAAGAACACACAGCTAGTCAAGGAGCCCTGACTCAAACCCAAGTCTTCAGGTCTCTGGGCCGGGCTCTTTCGCCAGCAGTCTTCATTTCCTTAACACTTATTAGCCAAACCATGAGACTTTCCACTGTTCCTAGGACAAAGACCAATATCTCTTTCATGGCCAGCAAGGCTTGAACCATCTAACTCCTGCCTACCTCATCTTCCATCCTCTTCCCTGTCCCACTAAGCTCCACCCACACGGGCTCCCTTTCTTTTCCTCAAAGAGCTCAATTCCTTCTTCCTTCAGGGCCTTTGCACACAGTACCCTCTGCCAGAACCACTCTCCCCCAAGGATCTTTGTGTAGCTATCGCTTTGGTTTTATTTGGGTCTCAGGTCCCTGTCACCTTCTCAAAGAGGGCTTTCCAGACCACCTTTCTGAAGGCTGTCGGCGCCCCTGCTGATCACTATCCTCCCCCCTCTTTAACTTCCGTTATGGTGCTCCCATGGATAGCATTCCTTCTTGTGAGCTTAGCACCAGCCAGGTACCGTTCTGAGAATTTTACGTGTACTACTCAAGCTAAGTCTCACAACTGTGGTTCTCAACCTTCCTAATGCCGCGACCCTTTAATACAGTTCCTCATGTTGCGGTGACCCCCAACCATAAAATTATTTTCGTTGCAACTTCATAACTGTAATTTTGCTACTGTTATGAATTGTAATGTAAATATCTGATATGCTATATGTGTTTTCCCATGGTCGCGACCCACAGGTTGAGAACCGCTGGAGAAGTTTGTTACAGACTGAATGTGTGCATGCCTGCAAGCCAGGAAAAGAGTCCTCACCAGGAACTGGCCAGCACCTTGATCGTGGACTTCCCAGCCTCCAGGATTGTGAGAAATAAGTTTCTGTTGTTTAAGCCCCCCAGTCTGTTTTTTCGCTACGGTAGCCTGAATAGGCTAAGTTAGACAGACAAGGATACTGAGGCACACAGAAATGAAGCAGTGACAGTCATAGCCAGTATTCAAAGCTAGGTGGTCTGCCTCCCAAACTTCTGCTCTCCGTCCCCTGATAGCACACATTTTATGGCTTAGTTGTTAACTCTCTGTCTCCAGCACAAGAATCTAGGCTAGCGAAGAGCCGGGAACCTTTCTTATTCTGTATCCACTACACCTAGAACTGTGACTAGCGTCCCAAAACAAATGGAAAGAATCAACCTGAGACACAGTTCAGACCCAGGCCTAGAGCCTCTGCCTTCCCCACAGTAGGCAAGTGTGAGACTGTCCATCAACAACTATTTATTAACTGGATTTCTCTGCTGTCCAAGTTCCCAAGGTCCAAATAGCATCACGCCTATTTCCCACACGGGCTTCACTGCTCTAGTGAGGAAGGCTGGTCTTCCCTTCCTGCTGGCTTAGGAGAGGGATGAAGTCCTGCTGCCTGAGCGGGAGTCAGAGACTTCATTCCCAGAGTGTCTAGGCTAGGAGCCTGGGAGCTGGGATGAGGTGAGAAAGGAGCCACTTTTTATCGTCCCTGCACCTCCGTCTCCATGTCTAAACATGTCACCCACAGGCCTCACAGACTCGGCGAGACGGCAGACGTGTGAGCATGAACAGTGCGTGCAGAGGTGAGAGTTAAGGATCTCCTAGGCCTCCAATCTGGTCAGTTCACAACCTAACCCCAACCCACGTTTCCAGCCTCAGCTCAGCGTGTTTCCCCCTCCCTGCAGCAACCTGAGCTCCAGCCACAATTCTCAAACTTCCCCACCTGGATGCATCTCCACCTGCACTGCCCTCTGCCTCGGTTTGCCTTCGCTCATGGGAAAACTCGTTTGCATCCTTCCCATCAGTACCGGTTCCCCCAGTAACAGGCTAGAAGCAGGGGCGCCACGGCGCTCCAGGCCCCGGTCTTCTCCGAGGCAGGTGGGGGTTTGGAGAGCGCCAGGGCCTACCAGGCGCGCCGAGGAGCCGAGAGCTGCAGAAACGCTGCGCTTCTCGCCCCCCGCAACCGTCTGTGTCTGCGCCCCCGCCAGACAGCCGCGCAGGCCAGGGCCCCGAGCTGCCTCGTCTCGGAATGAGCCCTGGGAAACGTGGCCTTGGAGAAAGTGGCAAGGGGTGACAAAGAATGAGAGAATGAACAAATGAATGGGACCGAGAGCCGGGGCTGGACAAAGACCTGCAAAATGGCGTTCTCTAGGACCGCGGGAGGGGTGGCCAGGACCTCGGCCAGGGAGGGGGCCGCAGGCGCCGCGGCTCTCGCTAGGCGGGCGGCGCGCCAGGGACAAAAGCCCGCAACGTGGGGGGTTCTAGGACCCCGGGGCCCGCACGCGCAAGGGGGCCCCGGGCGGCTGAGCCGGGCTTTCCAAGGGAGGGGCCCGGAGAGCCAAGCCGGCCCGGGGGGCAACCCGGGGGGGTTCTAGGACCCCGGGGGGCCCGGGGGCCCCCCCCCCCCCCCTCCGGGGGGCGGCTTCCCTCCCGCCCCCGGTTGGGCTTTGTTGGCCCAGGGCAACCCCCATCGCGCCCCGGGGACCCAAGGGAAAAAAAGTCCCGTTTCGGTTTCCCTCCCCCCCTGGAACCCCCTGGGAGCCCCCG